GAGTAGTCAATGAAACAAAAAAAAAAAAAAATTTTTTTTTTTTTTTGGATTTTAAGTTATTTAAAAAGTTTTCCTTTTTTTTTATTTGTTAAAATCAATAACCCCCTCCTGAAAAAAAAAAAAAATGAAAAAAAAAATTGAACTTTAATAAAATACATAAAATTTTATTAATTTTTTATTAAACTTTTCTTTCTTTCTCTCTCCTACTCTCTCTCTATTTCTTTCTTTCATTTTTTTATTATTAAAGGAATTATGGGATTTACATATTATTATTATTATTATTATTATTGCTATTATTATCGTCATCATCATCATCATCATCATCATCATTCATTTTTTATCAAAAATTAATAAAAATTATTAATATTATTATTATTATTATTTTATCAACGTTTTAAATAATAAATAAATACGATCACGTTCACAATAATAACGATAAATTATTAAAATAACTTAATAATAATTTATTTATTAACCTTTTTAATAATAATTTTTATTGGTGGTAGGAACGGGGAAGGGAGGGGCGGGAGAGTCTTTTTTTTTTTTTTTGATAAAACCGATGATTTTTCATTTTATTTATTTATTTATTTATTTTTTAATACTTTTAATTACCGTAATAAATTTTAACATTTTATAAATTATAACGGTAAGTAAAAAATTATCATCATTATCATTATTATTATTATTATACTTTTAATAAAGACGAGTTTTGAATTTTTTTTTTACTTTAACGGTTTTTTTTAACGATGAAATTTCCGTTTCCGCAAAAAATGCCAATATCCGGTTTAAAAAAAAAATTGCTATGGGTTTATTAATCGGGGGAGGGAGGGAAATTGCGTCACGTGACGTAATACAAAATAAAATCGTAAACTGTTTATTATTATTATTATTATTATTGTTTTTTTCTTCCCTTCTTACTTCGTTAAGGGTTGAATTTTTTGTTGTTGAAAACTCGATAAAATTTTCCACGTGAAAATCCAGTTGGAATTACTCGTAATGCGATTCTTCGATTGATTTCGATTTGTCGAAAATAACCGCATTCGAGAATTTTCGAGGTTTGTTTAGTTTTCTCTACGTCTCTCGATATTTTATTTTTCACTAATTAGTTTCCTTTTATTCGATATAATAATTACAATCATTTCTGTTTTGGTGAAAAATGTCGATGAATTTTTTCTTAAATAAAATTTAATATTTTTTACAAACAAAAGTTTTGTTAATTAATTACACGACGCGAAAAAAAAAGCAAGAAAAATTTCAGTGAAAATTTATTAATTTGAATTGATTAAGGGATTAAGGAGGGATTAAGAGACCGCTAATCCGACAAAAAAAAAAAGTTTTTTGTTAATCCAATTCGATATCGAAATTTTTTTTATTTATCATCTTTTCCAATCCGATGTGAAACTTGGAATTATAATTAGGATGGAATTTTAATTACGTAAACGTTAAATTAAAAAAAAAAAAAAAGAAAAATCTCCGGAACCGGAAGTTTAAATTCCAATCGTTTCCGGTTATGTGACGGAAATATAATGAAAATAAGA